CCTTTTTTTATGTAACGCGTGGGTATACATGCACATCAGAACGTGGAAAGTGAGCCCCGCAAGACTAGTGTTACGGAGGAACGATTCACTCCTAGCTGTGAGCAATGACAACGGCCCTGGGTAGTGTGAGAACCCCATCTAAAGTAGTAGCACTATAGTACTTCTATATTAAGGCTATTATATATTACTAGCGTATTATATACCTATTATGTTATATATATTTACTACACTACGTTTATAGCGTTTTTTACTACTTTAGCGCCTTATATAGTAGAATAGGTAGGTAGTAAATTATCTATAATATAGGGGTATATACTAAAAATAAGTAAGGTTAGTATTAGGCTATTAGGGCTAGTAGTATTATTAATAGCTTTAATAGCTAATTAAAAGGCAACTTTTAGTTTATAATTACTATCTATATTAATAATCTTATACGTATAGTAAAGCATAGCGTAGTACTATTTAACCTTACTAATAGATTAATAGGCCTTAATAAGTACCTTATTAACCTTAATAAATAACGCACAGGCAGCGTATTTAAATTTAGCTATATAAAAATTTAGGCTAGCGGTAGTAGTAATCTAATTAGGTAGGCTAAGGTATATATTAATCTAATATATCCATAAAGCTTCTTATATATACTTTATAGTAATTAAACATAAGAATCTTACTACGTTAAATATAGTAGCTAAGTTAACTATATAAAGTATAGGCTTATTATTATCTAAATATATTATATTAATAATAAGTTTATAGTTAGATTTATAATTATTATATAGCGTAAATTTAAAGTAACTAGGTGCCTTTATATTAAGTTAGTAGTAATAGTAGTATTTATTAATCTCTTTAAGTATAGTAAGAAAGGTTAATTTACCTACTTATCTAAAGAGCTTATAAATATAATTTACTAATAGATAGCTAAATTAGTAGTAAATCTAGCGTAATTTACTATCTATTAAGTGTTACTTTATAATAGTGCTCTTTAGTAGATCTAAACGTATCTATATATAGCCTTACTTTTAGGTAATAAGTATAATAATCTTATTTTTAATAAGCTAGTTAGTAAGGTTATTAAATTTTACACTATAGTAATCTATATCTTATAAGTAAAAGAGGAATAAAGTATTACTTATTATTATATAAAAAATAAGCTTACTAAGTAGCGTAGGTATATAGATTACACTAAGGGATTTATAGTAATCCTTACTACTAAAGTAAATTATTACTTTACTAGTATAGGTAGTATCTAGTAAGATCTTCTTACTAAGGTGTTTTTTAAGGGTAAGGTACTATTATTAGCTAGCTATAAATACTTTAGCTATACTAGTATTAGGTATAATACCTTAAAATATTAATATAAAGTAGTAGTTAATAAATATAAAGATATTACTACTTTTTACTATTATATTAGGCTATACTTCTTTATATAGATTTTTATAAGTTATAGTATAAAAAGTTACTTAGTTATATAGCTTCTTATAGGTAGATAGGCTATTAATTAACTACTTACTAAAGTATATAGTTATAGTAAAAAACGTAGTAGATTTATAGTTTTTACTATCTAATAAGTAAATCGTACTATCTTTACTTACTTCTTTAAGATAACTTAGCTTATTACCTTTATAATTAATAAGAAAGTAACTAAAAGTAGTTTATAAAGCCTATATAAAGTAGGTGCTTTTATATTATATAAAGGAGGCTTATTATTCCTCCTTAGTGTACTTAGTTAACTAATAGCCTAATTTACTATAGATAAAGCACTTTTTAGATAAATTACTATTAGGTAGTGCTTTACTACTAGTTACCTATAGAGGGCCTTATAAATAGCCTTACTATCTTTAGGGTTCTACCTTATAGTTATACTAGCTATTATACTTATAGTTAACTTAGTATTAGTTATTACTATAATTATTATTAGTAAAGTATTATAACTATAGCTTATAGTAAAGAAGTAAATTTACTATACTACTATATAATTATATATAAAGGCTACTAAAGGTAGTAAGTAAATTAAGAATAGTAATAAAGTATTTAGGTACGCTATAGCAGTAAGTAAGTAATTACTTATAGTAATCTTTATTACATAAGGTGCTATTATAGGTAGTTACTTATACTAGCTAGGTAATTTACATAATAAGTGCTTTAAGCACTTTAAGTTTACTCTTACTAGCGTTTTCTCTAGTAATTAAGTTAAAAGAGGTATAGTAAAGCTTAGTAAGGCATAAAAGGTATACTTTATTACCTTTAAAGCGTTATTTAAGTTTTACTATTATTATGTTAAAATTATTAGAATAACTAAGTAATAAGGTAGTATAATACTTATATAGCTCCCCTTTAAGTATTACTATTACTACTATGCTATAGTGGTTTTATAGTATATCTATATAGACGTAAAGATTATAAAAAAAAAGTAACTTTAAGTTAATAGTCTTATATAGGCTACTACTATATATTAAACCTAGATTATTAGTATAGAACTTTATTAAGTCTATTAATTACCTTAACGTTAGGGCACTTTTTTTATTTACTATAGTAGTAGTTACTACTAATATTACTATTAGTAAAAAACATAGTTAGACTTAGGCTTTATAAATTACTACTATTATTTAAGGTTTCTATAGTAATAAGGCTAAAAGAGATATAAATACTAGGTTATTATATAAGG